CCGCCCCCCCCCCCCCCACGGCGGCGGTGGGATCCCCCGCCTTGGCCGTGGAATTATCGGCGGCTGATGCGATCGCGGCGGAGACGGCGAGGAAGAGGACGAGGAGAGCAAAGTGAAGGCGCGCCATTGTTCACAGAGTTCAAAAAATTCTTGCCGTTTTCTTTGTTTGGAATTAAGATGCGAGAGTTTCATTGTTTATATAGTGATGAGCGAAATGCGAGGAAGACGTCGAAACGTGAGGCTTGCCGAATTTGTATTTCTTTTTTTTTTTTACCGGCTAAAATTGATGCATAATTTGTTTTTCCTAATTTCTAATTTAAACTTTTTTCTCAATGTAATGGCTATTAATGCTAAGGTGCGCGTGTTACCTGACGCACCGGATCAAAGCCCACACTGCAATCTCATTATGGGCTTAACAAATCCATGATGAGCCCAATGTGGGCCCATTATCATTTCTACGTTTTTGGTATTTTTTTACTTTTCATATTTGGGCAAAAAAGAACTGTAAAAATAAAGAAAAACACGATTTAAAACGGGATATTATAAAAAATACACTTGCTTTGCTATTCTTACTTCAACACATACTTTTCTTCAGTTGTGACCATATGACCTGAAATATAGTGTAGTCACATGTTGATCTCATTATTCATAGCGTTAAATTTATGATGTTTTAATCAAATAATTAGTAAGATATATAAGGTATGAATATAATGAATTAGGGAGATCACTATAAATTTAACGTTATAATCAATAAAATCAAAATATAACCACATTATATTGTGGGTCACATGAGTATATATTGAAAAGATATGTGTTGAAGTAATAATAGCAAAATAAGGGTATTTTTTATATAATGCCATTTAAAACATTCGTTTTTTTGTTACCAAAACATGATTCAGATGAAACATTAATAACATAAATTTCAACTATGAATAATTTGTACATGTATTGCTTTAATAATAATACATGGTTTCTGAGTTTTATCCGCATACACCAAACCGAACTGTACCGGAAAACTGTACCACCGGTTACGAGTCTACATTACAAGAACTGTGTCGGAAAATCTATGAACATTATGTATAAGATTACAACACTAAGGGGAAATACCTGTTTGTGACTCCCTTAGACAGGGCTACTGTGGCTGGAACACTTTGATAGTTGTTCATGGAAGAAAGGGTCATCAGAGCCATGAACAGAGCTCAGCCTTGGAGAAAAACTCCAACTTTCCAAGTGGGCCGGGTCTTGCTCCATGGCTGCTTCTCTGAACTTGATGAAGAAGATGGAAGACCAGTAATCCTTTGCCAAGTTCTTCAATGGAACCAGAGATTTTTAAGACAGAGGTCGTTGCAATGAACGAGGTTTAAAGGCGGTAAAATCAAGAGGTATACATACCGTCTTGATCAGCTGCATCACTTCGTTTAATGCGTTCTTGAAGAGATTAGGGTGAGCAAGATCTTGAGTGTTCAAGATTTCTTGCCGGGTCTTATGAGATATATTCACCTCCATCTCAGAACCTGCTCGATGGATAGTTTCCAAAGGGCGGTAGGCGAAAAGGGCACGGGAAAAACGCAAAGTTAACTCAACATTGAACGGCAGAGATCCATTTTCTGAATTTGGAGCTGAGTAAAAAAGGAATGAATGAATGAAACCTGCAACTATGTACTTCTCAATGATATGCCGAGCCATGTAGATTCTTCTTACTGGATCATCTTCAGGGATTTTTCCATGTTCATGAACCTCTTCAAAGAAGTGCAAGGTTTCTCCAGCATAACAACTAACAATTTTTTTAGGAAGAGTGATAGATGTTATGGACTGATGTTAAATAGAAAAACTGGAGAAACTTCTCGAGAAGCCAGCTTAAAGAAGATGAGGTACCTATCTGCGAATTCCATAAAGGATTGACGGAATCTTCTATTCAGAAGAAGCTTATCGAGCGGCTCATTTGTATCTATGGGTTGAACCTCCTCCTTGTGCAGTAACAGTCCACTGTCGGGTATGCCTAAAGCTTGACCCATTCTTCGAAATTCAAAATGCTCCCTTTTCTTCAGGCTGATTTGTGAGATTAGAGGTTGAGAACTTGAAATTGAAAAGAAGACAACGACAAGAATTCCAGCCTGTATTAAAAAGCATATGAACTGTTATTACCCCAAAGAAGAAAAACCTGAAGCCCGTTAAGACTAGTGTTGCCAAAGAGATAGAGCAATGCAGTAGATTACCATAATTAGAAGCATAAATCTTGATGAAATCTGAAGCCAGGAGACATCTTCATGAATCTCATTCAAGACATAAGCTGAAACCCATATTCCTGGAGAAGAAGAAAAAAACGAACCTTGGTTATATTTCAGCTCAGATATACAATAGGGTAAATGAATCAAGATAGTCTATAAAATGGTAAAATGGATAATGACAGATTGAGGAGAGGATGGTTTGGTATTGAGAAATGGTATACCGATTGATGAAGCTGAGACAAGAATTCCTTGCCAAAGATCCCTAAGTTCATCAAAACGGAACTCTATATGACGGATTGCCCTCGTGAATGCAACGAGAGCGAGAACATATAAAGCATGAAACCCAACGACCGGGAGAGTCCATTTAACCCCCATGTGGCACTGATGATTGAGAGGCTTTCTTGCATGGATAACTAAAGAAATCAAAAAAGCTTTCAGATTACAGAAACAATTGCAAGTGGGAGAAATGTTAGAATGCAGTAAAGTTAGAATTATTACACGCAGCTCCACCGATCCATGGCAGCAGTACAAGGGGAAGAAAGAAATATGACTTGATAGGAGGTAAACGCTTCCTATATTGCAAAGGTTTATATGTGTCAGTCCATCCAGCCGGTTCAGTTCATAATCATGAGATAACCATATATACATGCCATCTTAAGCATTTCAATGAAATTTTCTTACTTGACAAATATATAGTATAGTTGGAATGCCTGAGTTATACGGCAGCTTAGCAGCAACCCGAATCCAAGTGGCCCTTCAACCCACACTGAAAAAGCAAACAAACATTTTAAGCATATAGAGAAAGATAGATAGGTGTACTGACCAAACCCCATGAATCTAGTTTCGAAAGAAGAACAGAGATCTGACCTGCCCAAACGTAACAAGATTGCCACCAATGTCTCTTATTGAACTTGAGGAAATTGACTGACATCTGAGAGATAAAACCATTGAAGATTCAGCCACAGCCATATTATGTCAGAAACTAAAACGAGTCCGCGAGGCTGGAGTGATCAAACAGAGTTCATCATCTCACCACAATTGAGAAGAGAAGGTTGAAGCTTGCAATGACTTGAATCACAGGGATCCAGAAACTGCTTCCATTAAGACGAGGAGCCTTGTGTATTAAACAGGGCAAGATCGAGCGTGATAGAAGCCTAAAGCAAGAACAAGGACAAGAAATATGATCAGACAAGTGTATGTTTAAAAGACAAAAAAAATCTGGGAATGAGTTTGGATATCAGATCCAGATCAGTGGCTGACCAGGTGGTCCTTAGATCATGGTCCAAACCCTTGAATCGAAGAATAAAAGATGGAGACTTTCAGAAACATTAATTGCAAAATCAGACCATTCAACGCCCCTAAGGTATTACCTCAAATAGTAACCATGTACTCTCTCCATGGCAAATAAATGGAACTTTTAATCAAAACAGTGAAAATATTCATTTGCACATCAACTCGAATCAAATCAACAGAAATATATCAGCAAACACATTGAAGCATTGGGTGGGAGTTGAAACCAAGAAAGTCCAGAGAAAAATAACATTACACCCTCCAAAATCCGGTGGGACATATCATCAAACACTTAACTTAAGAACGAAAAATCCACAATCCAGACATCCATATAGCGAGAAACCCACTTGGTAAATGATGAAACATGACATATCAGTAGACCCAGAACGGAAAAAAAGGTCAGATCTTTGAAGTAAAACCAGTACTTTCCGACAAGCATTTGATTGAATTAACAAACCATCTCAAAAAAAAAAAGACCCAAAAAAACAAAGACGAGGAAGAAAAAAAACATACACGAGAAAGCAGATGATTGCTACGACAACGGCGACGTAATCGCTGGGACAACCACCTCGTACTGCGCAGCCGCTCGCCATTTTCTTCCAGCATTGCTCGAAGTTCTCTGCCGGGTCTGAGATTTTTGTTTTTTTTTTGCGATTCGACGGACTTTGGAGCTAAATTTTGTTCAAAGATTGTTGCTTTAATGAGTGGGCAGTTTCCCAGAAAAGAAGGGAAAGAAAGGAAGAAAAAAGCTTTACGGTTGTTGAAGTTTGGGAAAATACAAGTCCGCACTACTTTCCATCATTTCACGTCTCTCTGTCCTGTTCCCATGTGAATTTTGACGGCAAGACGCTTCCATAATTATGATTTTGTTTAATATTAGTACCATAAAATTTTAAAATTAATCAATTTAGATCATTAATCATTAAAAAAAACTTGGTTATTGATTTGATCTTGATCAATTATGTCTTTATCATTTGTTGTTTGTACCATTGAATATGATCTTCCCATCATTTTCCCTTTTGCATCAGTTATAATTCGCTTGAGGACTGGTCATTTGGAGTTCAGTTCTATCAAAATTGGTTTGGTTATATTTGGATTTTATTTTCTAATTTAAAACTATTTCAATTCTATTTTTATTGATAAAAATATTATTTAAAAAATTACAATTTGTTCAATTATTTTTTATTCAATTCAAATTCGAATTTTTTTATTTTACAAAGATTCGAATTTATATTAAATGTGATTCAATTTTTGCAATTATTTTTTATTCAATTCAATTCGAATTCGAATTTTCGATTTTACAAAGATTCGGTTTTATATTAAATCTAATTCAATTTAGATTATTTATTATGAATTCATGACCACCTAATCCACTGCATCATTTGTTAATGACAAAAGAAAAATGTCGTATCAAAATTGCAGTAACAGCCCTCAACTTTACATATATGACAAAATCACCCACTAAAATTATAAAGAGTCAAATTAAACCCCATGAGAAAAGACATATTTTACTCCGACAACTCCAACTTGGAAGTGTAGCGCCACAGGATTCCTCCGGCCAAATTGTTCAGAGCATGCGATGCCATCGGAACAAAAAGACTCGACGACAAAACCGTAGCGTAACCATAGACTATCCCGACAAAGGTTGCCCTGAAAACGCAACAGTTCCGCAACGGAAAAAACATCGTAGAATATGATCCATGGAAGTGTGATATAGAGATTCAAGAACACATGAAATAAGAATCGACGAAAACTGTACCAGATTGCAAAAGAAAACTTTCTATTGCTTCCGAGATGAAGAAAGCCGAAGATGGCACCAACTGCCACAATACCGATCCAATTGGTTCCAAACAATGGCAGAAGAGCTCCTCGGAAAAGAATCTCCTGAACCATAATATCTTGGATAAGACTAAGAACCATACGTTCATAACTGAATTTCAGACAAGAGTTTGCTTCTTCTTGTCAGTTATGTACCTCGCTGACACCGGGTAAAACTGAGACGACGAGGTAATCTAGTGGTTCAAGTGAAGAAAGGACCTGAAGATGGTATCGAGGGGAAGCAGGTAAGAAAGCTGAAGAATGGGTTTGATGCCGTGAGAAGAAGAACTGAGAATGGACCTGTCGGTTTGCTGCATTGCTCGATTCAGCGAAATCTGGCCAAGATTTTAGTAGCAATAGCCTGCATGATGTAATGAATATCACCATTCCACCAATCATCTCGAGATGCCATATCTCGAACCCAACTGCAAGAAGAGCTTTCATGAGCGATTCTGACTGCAACCCGTTTAAGCATATGCGAAAACTAACACGGTGCCATTACATGTAACATCCATCGAGCTGTCGGGAATCGGTAATCCTTCAGTTGAGGCGAAATGAGACACCTGACAGCGTACCGGTAGATGTCAATAGAAATAACACCATTGATAGATACTACACAAGGGCTTCAACAGTCATGGAACAGAAGAAGGACAATGTCTGAACTTTATGGAGAGATTGAGTTGTTACCTGTCTGATAATGAGACCAAGTGCAGAAATCAACCCTGAAGTAACCGTGCAAGCTTGAAGCACCTTGTCTCTTGGCGCAACATCATCAACTGATTCCTTGTTGGAAGCTGAAATGTCAACTGTGTCCACATCACTGTTATCTGAAACTTCATCAAATCTTGGTGAAGGAACTTGGTTTACTTCTGATCTACTGCTACTCTTGTTCGAGTTCTTGATTGGGTTTTTACTCTGTCGAGCCTCTCTTGTAGATTTCTTCAGTGATTTACGATCTGAACACGCCCTTATACTGAACTTATAATATCCCTGAAGCATGATCAAGAGTATCCATTGTTATAGCAAACAAGACATTAAAGCCGTGTTAAGAGGTCTTGTCGGAGTAGAGAGAGAGAGACAGCAAGAGATGCAGATGTGGGCAAAACCCAGAATCTTACACTGCAAATTACAATGGTTGATTAACGCGAAATTGACAACAAGATTGAAAATTTCAGAGTCTTTTTCAAGAAACAGAGACCGACGATTACATACCCATGTACGATCTGGACAAGGGAGACGAACTGTTGTTGAAGCTCCTCTCCACCATGGTTGCAGAGCCATAAAACCCATCAGAGAATTCGATGCATAGAAACTACAATCGAAGACGGAGGAAGAAATCGCCGAAATGCTATGGCCAAAAGCAGAAGACTTTCTCCATCGGAAACGAGAGGTCTTGGTATCGGGCTACTTCAACGGCGTCGTTTTACACTTTCCCCGTTTGCGATTCCTCTCGTGTGCTTTGACGTCCTTATTCCAGCTTTGAACACGAAATTTCAAATCTTTACTGTAGAAACAGGCACGGAGAATATGGAAGAGCATATTATCCATCAGAAGCAAACATCTGATTTGCATGTCCATCAAATTCTCCCATGATTTAGTGTCTTCCCACTTCAAAAATTGTTTAATTCGTTGAAATTCTCGAGAGGGTTCGTACTCGTAGTATCAGTTGATGGGTATCTGAAAGTCATGCCCTTTTTATCTGATATATTACAACGTACGACCAATGGATCAAAGACACACCCATCTCTCATTTCTCTCTTATTTCGATTCTTCACTACATTTCTTCCAAGCGCTAAACAAGATCAAGGAGGAGGAATTCGATAGGATCTGTCAAACATCTTCAGTATAAACAAGTTGCCCTTGTCCCCCCTTGATAGCCTGCGAAAAACAACCTCAACCTCTGTCATGTTCTGGCTTCAGCTTTTCAGATGTAGTTCATGAAACATATCCAAAACAAAAACAAAACAAAAAAATCACTGACCGTAGTTCTTCATCCACGTAAGTGATCTCCAGTTCACCACGAGCAGTATCAGGGGCGTTTACCGGAATCTGGAATGAATGCATGGAAAGTCAGATCAAACTTATTTACATTCTTAATTAGCTACTTGATATATTATAAGACTAGATGCAGTTCAAGGCTGTATAGCTTTGAAGAGCCAAAAAGAAAACAGATAAGAACGCTTACAAGGCCTAAAATTCTAAACCTTTCGAGCTTTACCGCAACCTTCCTAGGGTTTAGGGGCCTCAAGGTTCCAATTACCTGCAAAATTTAGTTTGCCAAAACATTCAGCCACAAAGATTGCGGTAACGGGCTTCATGTCCTGGATCATAAAGGAAGAGTTTGGTCTACGGTCTTGTACAAAACCATAAGAATTTGTCCAAAAACGGGGTATAATAAGCAGTATGAGGGAAAATCAAGTTGGAAACTTACCGAGTTGAAGAATGGAAAAGTCTCCATGTTTTGCACCCTTAATGTGTCTGCATTGATAGCTTGGTAGTTTGTTATCGACCTCAAGAACCTCGGTTTCTGCCACAGGATGAAAGAAACTGAATCAAATGAATGATAACAAGCAAAAACACAGATATTTCAGACATCATTTGAAATAGTTTCTGCAGCCAGAGAACTGGAAAGATCTCGGAATTTTTACCTTTATCTGCAAGATGGAGACAGAGGTTGTATAAATGAGTTCCCATTTTCCATTGAGTAAATCAGATTTCAGAGGCGCCTTCGTTGGGTTAACAGCTTCCAGCTTGCGAGCTAACTGTCCAAACATTAACCAGAGAGTGGAAAATAATGGGGATTGAGAACACAAGTCATGCATGTAAAAAAAACAGCCTGGTTTCTCCAGTTTACATGGACGTGTTGGATTGGTTTGACCAATTTGAACAACCTTGTACAATCAAGTTTTAACATTTTTTGAGTTTTGCCCATTGATTCGACCAATGAAACTCTTCTCTCAAGATTCTGGATTTTCTATATGGGGCACTTGGGTGAGTGTAAGAGAGACTGATGCTCCACTCAAATCAGAAGGGTTTCAAGCTAATTCCAAGGAGTGGCTTCTAAAATTCCTAAAAGCTTGAAACTTTCTTGTTCCTTGACCTCTCTGAAGCTACTTTTCTTCAATCTGCCATGTGAATCACAAGGAAAGAGGAAAGAAGAGGACCTGATCGATTTGGCGCTGGTCATCAGGCGTGGCTTTGGCGCCACGGTCGAGAGGAGCTATGGCGTCGTAGAGGTCTTGCTTGAGTTCCTTCAGCTTCGCGTCTCGGCCTCCTTTCGTCAGAAACGCCGGTGGGAAAGTAAACGCGGCTCGGATTTTCAACCTCTCTCGATCATCGGTCCTACCGCTGAGTCGGAGCCTTGTTGGAACAGCGAACCCACTGTCCCATTTCACGAGATTTCCTGAGAACTGACGTCCCAAGACCGGTGACATGAGAATTTCGCTCTTCAAGCATGTGGGCAACGCCATGGAACCACGACCAGAGAGACTTTTTCTGGGTTGATGAAAACGATTAGTTCAGTTCATAAGAGCTCTGTTCAAAAAAACACACGGGCAAGCAAGAGGAGATCTTTAACTCGCTGGCACGGAGAAGAAGAGACATGTTTTCATCGCCGTGGCTATTAGAAAAGAAAACAGATAAGATATTCTCCTGTGAACGAGAGGCCCAGTCTCTCCGCCTCCACAACGGCATCGTTTCAACGCTTTCCAATTTCATATTACGATACAAAGCCAATGCCACCAACGTAAAATGGATCCAAAACCAAGTAAAAACGGGACCTTTAGCATTTTCATATTTCACCATCTCAAACCCTACATTCGGATTCTGTTTCTGTATATACATTTCATCTCAATCCGTACAAAGGTTTTTGCCATCTTCTAAATCAGATTCGAGTATTCGTAATACACCAAGAAAAGGGCATCTGGGCAATCCTTGGGAAGGCTGTTGATGTAGAGGTAAAACCGAAGCAAATCTTCCTTGGACACAGTCTTAGCATCCACCACGTCCTCATCCCCCGCAAGAACCCACAAGTCATCCGAGTTTACCCTCTTGATGCTGCCCCGACAAAACGGGCATGACTGAGATTTCATGTTCCTGTAGAGACATGTGTCATATGATGTATTCAGGCAACTAAGAGGCTTGTAAGAGAAAATGGGTGTTAGGTAAAAACAGAGACTTTATACCAGCTGCGGTAGCATTTGATGCAGAGTGAATGGCAGCAACTGGGCAACACCATCTTGGGAGAAGTCTCTAAGCAAATTCCGCATTCCTCTTCTCGATCTAATGCCATATTTCTGAAACTACGACCTTCTCTCGTTATCTTTCTGCTGAGTCTTCTCATGTCACACCCGATGTCTTTGTTCTCCAACTCTTCTAAGTTGCTATGTAGTTGCTGAAGCGATGGCAGTATGACTCCTGCAAATAGGATATTCGGGCCAAAATGAAAAACCAGTGAAAGGAAAGATCATCATATGAATGTGTCTTTGTAAATTCGTCCAACTATACTTCATTCCGTTCAAGAATGTAGCAGACTCAAGCCAGAAACAAAGCATTTCGGCGTATAAAGGGCATCTCTCATAAAGCTGGGATATTTATCAGAAGGACATACCATAGAACTCACTAATTGTCGCCTTCCTTCCATGAGTGGTTAATTTAGGTTGTCCATCTGAATGCACCTGCACAAACACGATGACAGGAACCGAAGCACAAATGAGTAAAATAACACTATTAAAAGCTTTGTTTCTATCAAAACTTCAGCATTGAAGGGGTAATAGCTAAGACACTTTGAGGTCATTGTCTGAAGCGAAATGATCTATAGGGAGACTGAATAAACTAACCTTGTAGACGAGAACATGGAAGAGGTTTAGATACCGAGGAACCAGACAGGAGCATGAAAAGTCTAACCACTGAAACAACAACAGTAGGAGTGAAGCCAAGTTATTGTGAACCAGTTTCATCTGAAGCCTCATTCCATCTTTCCCCATGGGAATAGCCGTTGCCCTGAAGAGAGATGATCATCAAACTAACCTCAACATTGACTTCTTATGGATAATTCAGGAAACAAAACATGGGCAAGAGCCAAAACAAGCATAGTGTTTTGCCCTTTTGCAATCTTGTAATGGCTGAAAATCAAAAACTTCAAAAAGTTGTTTTTGAAACCACCAAACACCCAAAATCCTTTATATGACCTATATATATATAGCAATAGTGTATATATGATGATCTAATAATATACATATTAGCAAGTTACCAGCTAAAAAGAACTCAGATTGAGAGGCGTTGAATCAAAACCACAATTTCGCTGAAATTATACAGACAAGTCACAAAACCCTCAAAATTGTCTAGCTGGGTCTTCTTCTACTTCCTCTTACAAATCAACTACATATCATCTGAAAGCACTAAAAAAAGCAGCATGATCATGATCATAAGAAAAGTCTAAAACTGTTTCGAAAAAGCAAAAACCCCAGAAAATAGAAAGAGGAAAAGGCTTACAGGGTATTTGCGTGTTGAACATCAGATTCCAGAATCTTCAAGAACTCCTGGTAAGAGGACGAAGAAGAAGAAGACATCGCCAATTGATTATACATCTCTCTCTCTCTCTCTCAATAAAACAGAAAAGCTATGATTTTTCGCCGAATTTATGAATTAAAAGACCGACAGAGAAAACGAGCAGACAGGAGAAGATTGCGTAAACCGAGGGCTTGGTCTGGATGATCGGGGGAAAAAAAGCCCAGAACTTTAAAGACAAAACGCTAAAGAAAGGAAGGAGAAGAAGCTAACTGAGGAGGAGGAGGAAGAAGAAGACAAAAGCCGGACTTCTGCTTTCTTTCCGGGTGCTTTTCTTTGCCCACTTTCTCTCTCGGTGGCTCATATTCTCTCGCTCCTTCTTTAATAACCACAGAGAAGAAAAAAATTCTCTCAAATATTATTAAATCATATTATTATTATTAATTATCTTCTCGATGTCCAATTTTCCACATTTTTTTCAGTGACAAAAAAAGATATGCAAATTAGAATATTTCATTACATTGATACAATTATGACTAAATCTCCATTAACAAACTATAATTAAGACAGAGAGAAAACGGAAAACACGTGTACTTTACTGCCATAATTGAACATGATTTTCTGGAAGCACTTTATAAGAAATTCTCATTAAAAAAACAAAATCCTGTTCCATCTGTGTTTACACTTTTATAGAATCCAGAGTTTTATAACTACGCTGAAAATGGTCAAAATACGCAAGCTTCAACATCATTGTATATATAGATAATAAAAAATGTTGTGGACAGAGGTTCTTGCCACAACCATATTTGGACAGAACATATGTCAATAAAGGATTCACAAAAAAAAAGAACCCGAGAAGAAAGGTGTCAACTTTGTTCTGTTCATTCCGCTTCGTCCCACTCGTCGTTCTCGTAAGAAACAAGGGTATCGACCTTATGAATCTGCAAAGACAAAACCATCTATTACATTTGAGTTCCTAATGAGATCCCAAATCCCTTATCCGCTTTTACCTTTGTGTCGAAAGAGTGCAATTTATAACCATCTGCGGATTGGCAATCAGCTTTGGTTCGCTCTCGATCCAGGTAAATGGTACAACCTCGTCTTTATCAGTGTATGCCGTCTTTATCCGTGTATGCCAAGTTGCCAACACATCAAACACGCCTAACCATAGATACTTGGAGCACTGAATTCACCAAGAAAATCTGATCTATGCAAATATATACAAAGAGGGTGTTCGATTCGATTAAGGGGTATGTGTTGTAAGGTTCTTACGTTTCATCAAGACAAGGCAAGTAAAGTTATGCTCGAGGCGATCTGTCTCATGATGGCTTGGATCTCCCCCATGATCTCCTTATCGCTTTTCTCCCTCGAGACACTGAAGGAGGTAAACGCAAATGACATCAAGCAAACACATTTGAGAAGTGTCATAGGATCCATTCATGTAATTGGCAATCCAAGATCTGAACAAAAAAAAAAACTCACCCTTTTTGAACAACCTCGTTATCGGTTTCAATGCGGAAGTTCCATCTCTCTAAGACCTCGGAGGTCGCTTTGCTCATTATCACAAGTACAACTTTCCCGCCACAAGCCATTCTTTACATAAATGATGTTTTTCGAATCAGACGCCTAAGTTCCGGCATAATCATGTGCAGCAAGACCCAAGACACAATCTCTCACTAGTTTTGCTAATCCTGTAAGAATATTACCAGATGAGGGATTAAAGGAATGAATGATTCAGCCAAACAACAAGGACTCTGAGAAAACCAATGTTCTAGACACAAAAATTGTAAGATTTCAATCAAATGTCGGGGAAGAAGGCTTACCGGAAATCTGAGAAGTCAGGTTGAAGAGGAAGGAAGGACTTAACGGCTTCGTCTTGGATAAGCAACACTGGCAATCCATATTTCTTCACTTTGACGAAGCTCTCTTCTGGTTAACTCAAAACCCTATGTTGAAAATAGTCGCGAAAATTAATGGGAATCCCACGATCCATCGATTCTCACCTGTTCCAAGCATAACCTGAAAAAGATCATCAAATTGGGGAAGAGAAAGCCAAAATCAACAACAGTAAGTGAAGAAATATGCTTCAAAATCCCATGTGAATCGACGGGTCAAAACCTAAGAAACTGGAAAAAGCACGGACATAAGAACTCGCTGACGATGGCCGCAGATCCACGCAATGTGATTATAGCTTTCTCTGCTGTTATCGACGCCATTGAAACAACGATCTCAGTAATCAGAGAGGAGAATCCGGATACCTGCAATGATGGATTTTCTTCGAGGCAATTAGAGCGAGTTAGGGTTTCAACGTGGTTCGAGTCTCGAAATTAATTGAGCGAAAATCTCAAAGAAGAGAAAAGGGCGCAACGGTAACGTTCCACAGTAGCGTCCTTTCAACGGTCACTTTGTCCATCAACTTTTTTTTTTTAAATTTCTCTAACTTATTTAATTATGATATCTTAATATATATATATATATATATATATATATATATAATATGAAAATTTATTTCTGTCTTCTTACAAAAAAAAAGAGTTATTTTGAGACTACGCAACAACTCACAAGTTTAATATTGTGTCATATTTAATATACAGCTGAAAATTGATTATTTTCCTCAAACTCTTACATTGATTAAATTGAAAAAATAATAACACTCAATAATTAGAATCTGAAAAGGATTGGTTTGGGATTTTAATCACGTTTTCAAATTTGGTGGCCTCTATTAATGGGCTTTTAAGAGGCCTATTCACATTTGGGTCGTCAAGATCTTGGACCGTTACATGCAAAGGGCCTCAAACCCGTATCTCCCGACCAAAAAAAAAATCCATAATTTTTATAAATATCCATATTTTATATAATTATTTAAAGTTTCTAATTTGGTTACCGCCGATGTCAGAAATTGGATAATAAAATTTAAATACCCGTTTTTTTTATATTGGAATCATCTTTCTATAGCTATTAGATATGGATTCCCAAAAATATCAAAATCTGCTACCAAGAAAAATATAGTAAGAGTATAAGTGTGTTCCATTTATTCTATTATGGTTTTTTCTTGATGTCTGAGTTTTGGATTCTTGTGTCTGATGGCTTTAAGTTTCTGTGGTAATCTACGGAATTCTACTTATCAAACTTACTTATAATAAAATCAAATATCGTAAAACTGAAGATTGATTTTGCTGGTTTATATCAGAATTGGAAATCGACGATTATAAAATATTTTTAATACAATTTTATTTACAATTATAATAAATTTTTGAGTCAAATACTCGATGTGTTATCAAATAAAAAAAATAATTAATGTCCAAAAACCCGGACATATATTAAAGAAAATGCTTACTGTTATAGACACTAATGTTACAATTTGAAATTGGGGAAGGGAAATAGAAATAAATCGCTGCAGGTTGCACATGGACTGCAACTCGAAGAGTTTAAATGCTATGTATTTGATTATTTATTTTTTATTAGGGATTATATTTCTGTATTTCGAAATCTATTATACATACATCTTTTTTCTCCCATTTACATTATAAATTTGGTTCATTTACAATTGTATTTTTATAACTATATCCACTTAATTTTTCTACTATATAAAATCATGGTTTCGGATTTATTGGGTTACCATAAAGTAAGTATTTTAATATATATATTTAGATTTGCAATTATTTGTTGGTATTATTTTCAAAAATTTAATAAAATATATTAAATTGATTTTTAGTGCAATTATGTGTTATTATTAAATTGATATTGATATATACCAAACTTTATTTATTGCATTTCTTTTTTTTTTTATGAAACTATACTCTTTGCATCACTTCTTTTGTCGGGTGTAAAACAGTAAAAAACATATACAAGTGGATCACTTGTACCATGCTGCCAAATTTATGTGGGTAGTGGGCTTCTATTTTTAAAATATTTCATTCTTAAAATATGAGATGTTAAAATAAGTAATTTTTTTTAATAAAAACTATATGCGAAAATATTTAGAATTTAATTTTATCCTTTTAGTACTAAGCCTTTTAGCATAAGTATATAAATATCATTTTTCTAATTACATTTGCAATAAAAATAATATTTATTTTTGATTATTTTTATTTATTTTAGATAATATTGCAGAAGTTATTATTAGAATTAGCATTTAATAAAAAAAAATTTAAATACTCGTTTTTTTATATATATATTGGAATCATCTTTCTATAGCTATTAGATATAGATACCCAAAAGAATCAACGTCTGTTCCATTTTTTCTATTATGTCTTTTTCTTTGATGTCTGAGTTTTGGATTCTTGTATCTGACGGCTTTAAGTTCTTGTGGCAATCTACCGAATTATATGGCAAATTCTACTTATCAAACTTATTTATAATAAAATCAAATATCGTAAAACTGAAGAATGATTTTGCTGGTTTATATCAGAATTGGAAATCGACGATTATAAAATATTTTTAATACAATTTTATTTACAATTATAATAAATTTTTGAGTCAAATACTCGATGTGTTATCAAATAAAAAAAATAATTAATGTCCAAAAACCCGGACATATATTAAAGAAAATGCTTACTGTTATAGACACTAATGTTACAATTTGAAATTGGGGAAGGGAAATAGAAATAAATCGCTGCTGTAACACCCGTGAACCTTTTTAAAAAAAAAATGGGGCATGTCTCCATGTTTCCCTCACCATTTCGAGTCAAATACTCGATGTGTTATCAAATAAAAAAAATTAGTAATGCCCAAAAACCCGAACACATATTAAAGAAAATGCTTACTGATATAGATATTAATATTACAATTTGAAATTGGGGAAGGAAAATAGAAATAAATCGTTGCAGGTTGCACATGGACTGCAACTCGAAGAGTTTAAATGCTATGTATTTGATTATTTGTTTTTCTTTAGGGATTCTATTTCTGTATTTCGAAATCTATTATACGTACATCTTTTTCTCCCATTTAAATTATAAATTTGATTCACTTCTTATTGTTTTTTTATAATTATATCCACTTAATTTTTCTACTATATAAAATCATGGATTCGTATTTATTGGGTTACCCTGAAATTTTGCTAAGATAAAATAAGTATTTTAATATATATATTCAGTTATTTGCTGATATTAATTTCAAATCTTTAATAAAATATATTAAATTAATTTTTGGTGCGATTATGTGTTATTATTAAATTGATATTGGTATATACCAAATTTTATTTATTGCATTCTTTTTTTATGAAATTATGTTCTCTATCTCACTTCCTTCTTCTATCGGCTATAAAAATGTCAAAAGACATATACAAGTGGATTACTTATACACTGCTGTCAAATTTATTTGGGTTTCTATTTTTAAAATATGAGATTTTAAAA